AAGCTGACTCTTTCCATGTTCTATTTCCCGGAGGCCGGAATCTCGCAAAAAAGGGCTTTAGGGTTTAGGCTTGCAGGTTTATAGGCTTCGCCATCACACTTTGGGATTAAGGGTTTGACGGGGTTCGGTTTAGGGTTTGGGGCTGGGTTCTTTTCAAGCTTTCGGTTCAGGAAACCTGAAATCCTAAGGGTTTAGCAGTGCATGGTTTTGTGAACATACGTTACGTTATCAATGACCTGGTAACATACGGGCCTAACTAATTACCTGTACTATTTTGGGGGGTTCCTTATTATATAAATAGTAGTATAATTTAACCCCAAAACCCTTTTCTAATTATAATTATTAAGGCCCCTTTATTACGTCCTTCCTCCTCGCGGTCGTTACTCGGCAGCCCAAAACCTCGGGAACATCATGCTTGGTCGGGTTGCAACCGAAGCAAAAGTGCAGAATGCTGGTGCATTCCAGGCAGGTTGAGACCAGTGCGGTAGCGATTTAGTTAAAGAGTCCATGTAGACCTTCCAAAATCCCTTTATCAAGGAAGTTACTTGAGTCAGCAACAATAACCTTCCTAGTGTCCTAGTGAGCCCAGAGCCCAAATAGTGCCTACGGGCCACGGGAGTCATCACCGAAATCATGTCTCCAGTTCTTAAACGGGAAACTGCAGTAGGTATCGGAACAGAAGCCGAGGCACAGTACAGTTCACTCAAGCATCGCTAGCTTCCTGGCAAAACCGATGTGGTGAGAAGTATTCATGTGTGTCTGTCTGTATGCATGTTCACATGCGTGTCTCTCCTCGAATGAAAATGTGTTTCCATGTAGCGCACACACAAACACGCAAGTGTACACATACACACCTCTACCTCAAGTGGGCCGCAGTAATCAAATGCCAAGTCTTGTATGCTGAATCCCACTGTCAAGAAAATCGAAAGACACAACGCCAGCAACCCACTCCCCGAAGCCGCATCGCTGCCCCACGCGGCCACCTGTAAGTCGGCGCTTGCTCGCAGGCCCTGGACTATGTCTCCGATCCTCAGAAGATTGAGCTTCGGCAGCAACGGTTTAGGGTTTTAGGGTTTAGGGTTTAGGGTTTAGGGCGCCAAAGCAAACAAAAGGCAAAGCCAAGGCAGGCAATTCCGACGTGCGGGTAAGTTCACTTTTTCATTTCAGGAGCATGCTTTTGAACTCTCAAGATTGTCCCGATGCCGATCCCCAAAACCTTAACCCAAAAGCCCTAAATCCCAAACTGCTGTAGGACGTAAACCCATCTAGTGGCCCTCATAAAAACCCTTGTGCAGGCAGCATTCTGATGATTCTGGGATGGTCAATCGCATTACCGCTTTAGGTGGCGCGGTCAGGTCAGGTGAGGGGTTTAGGGTTTAAGGTTTAGGAGGGGGTTCAGTGTTTAGGGTTTTGGATGGCAGATTGCATGTTGATGCAGCATCTAGGTCTGGGCCAGAGACAGCTGAGGGGGCTTAGGCGGTGCAATGGATCCAGAGCTCTAAACCTAAGCCATAAGCCACTGTGAAGGTTATTGGATAGAACCCGTTTACACCCCATCTGAGTAGCAGAGCCGGCAACCTATGACCTTGTGTTGGGGGAGCGGGGGGGGGGGGGTAGAATATTCCTATAAACTCTTAAAGGTTTCACCTTTAGTGCCCCTAGGACTAGGATACTGGCAAAGTAAGCCAACCGGAGGGCCGAATCTAAGCAAACAGACCACATGTAAACTACGCTTCAACTTACTGCACCCTTGCCACTAGGGTATAGAGTTTAGGCACTAGCACCTACAGTTTGGGTAGAATCCTTATACATTGCATGCTTTCTACTAGAGTGTTTGTATCCGGCCCTTTCAAGACAGAGTGGGTCGAGGTAATGCAGGGGCGTTAATAAAGAATAGGGTTTGGGGTATATTCTANNATTATAAGAGGGAACCCCCAAGACCCTATCTTAATTATTAAGGCCCCTACATTAGGGTGGGTAGGATATGATATGGCCCAGGAGCTCTGCTGTTGAGCTGTAAGCCCCAGAATGTAGGGGCCTTATTAATTAGAAAAGGGTTTTGGGCTCCTTTATAATATATATATAATAATAAGGAACCTTAAGGAATAATATTGGAATTTGTTTAGGCTTCTCTATTGCTGGCCCGAAGTCCTATCCTTAGGGCCGAAACCCGAAACTCCAGTAACCAAGGCAGTGGCCGAACCCTGGAGGAACCCCTCTAAGAACCCTTTAAAAACCCTGTAAGAGCTCCTTAAGAACCCTTTTACAATCCTATCTGGCCCCTTTGCGGAACCCTTTTGACGAAAAGCCTCTTCACAAGCCTGCAAAACCTTTTCGAAACTCTAGACACCCAACACCAAAACCCTAAACCCTCAACCCTGAGCCCCAAACCCAAAGCCCCCAAACCCTGAAACCCCAAACCCTGAGCCCGAAACTCTTGACCCTAGCCCCTACCCATAGGCTCCTACGTAGTTCCCTTTTTGTGGCTCATGTTCAACATCCTACAAGGTAATCCCAAAAAAAGGAACTACTAAGGAGCCTGTGGGTAGACCCAAGACCTTACCACCCGACCCTAAACCCTAAAACCCTAAACCCTGAACCCTAAATAAACCCCAAACCCTAAACCCTAAATAAACCCTATAAACCCTAAACCCTAAACCCTAAACCCTCTCAATTCTGAGGTCAGCGTCGACAACTTCGGGGCCGGCGACAGCTGCTTTGGCCGGTGTTCACCGAACTTGCAGGGGTTTAGGGTTTAGTTTAGGGTTTAGGGTCCTCAAACGGTTTCATAAGGGTTTGGGCTTGAGGGTTTCGTTGAGTTTCTTAGGGTTTTTTTTCAGGTTTTCTTCCTTTTAAGTGAGGGTTTGTTAGGGTTCAGGGAGGCAATATAGGCGTCGGAAAAATCAGTACTACTTCTCTTGAATGGGCGTTTCATTATGATTACGGTAAAACATACCCCATAGCCCTGTTCCAATTCTTAAGCCCCTATGAGGGTTTTCAATCATAATAAGAACATAGGCTGCTCGGCAAGAACCTAGGATAAATCCCCAAACCCTGCACTGCACCTTCTAAACCTTAAGTGCTGAACCTTAAGCATTAAGCTCTTAAACCCTAAACCCCGAACCCTAAACCCTAAACCATAAGCATTAAGCTCCTAACGGTTTTGTTCAACAAGCCAGGATACCTCCAGGGACGCGTGAGCCTCGTCGATCCGGCATCTAACAAGGATGGCTTTGCCACCAGTGGCCTGGTTGTGAGGATCAGGGTAAGACGGGCCATGCTTGTGCTATCTCTTGGCGGTTCTATGTGTTTTTTTTTTCCAGCTTGTTTCTGCATGCAGCGCGGGGTCTTGTTTCAGGGTTCTTCTGGTTTGAAAGGGCTTAGCAAAGCTTTACGAACTCTTCAGGGCTCTTGGGTTTTGGGGCTTCGGGCGTTACTTAAAGGATTAGGACCGGGGAGGGCATGTTCTTTTATTAAGGAACCGGTAAACCCTAAACCCTAAAGCCCTAAACCCTACACCCTCAACCCTAAACCGTGGTGTGCGGGTGTAAGTCTTGCTTCCATATAATCTCTGGAGGAATATATGCGAGCAAGCCGCTGGGGTTTTGGGGGGACTCTTGTAGTTTAGGGTTTTAGGGCTTTTGGGTTTAGGGTTTCAGGGATTTTAGGGTTTTTATTGTTTAGGGTTTTAGGGTTTGGGGTTTTAGGGTTTCAGGGATTTTAGGGTTGTCGAACTAGCCTGATGCTAAGGCGCTAAGGGTCGATCTCTTTTGCAGGTGATGGGTCTTGGACTTATCATCTTTTCGCGGTGGCGAGAGTTGTTTCGTGGAGCCTCCACTATAAAAAGCTGGCACTCTAGACTCCAAGTTTATGGGTTCAGCTTTTGATGTTTAAGATCTGGGCCATGTTGCGTGGAAGACGCCTTTCTCCTGTCAACTCCTCACCAAACGCACACTGGAGAACCACTGGAGAACAAAGACCAAGATATCAAATAGCGCAGGACGAACCTAACCTAGAACACCATTACATCGAAACAACGCCTTGTTGATGGCGGCCGTCTCAGGTAACATCTATGTGGGGGACTTCTCGCAGTCGCAGTCAAACTTTGACCACAGCTGCTATCCCTTCGACGACAAAAAGGTGTCCTGCATGTATTCGACATTTCCAAAACAGGTGACCCGAATTTGGGCGCCTAGGCGCCCTTACACATCACCACAGACGATAGTCGCATTGGTAAGAACAACCCCACATGACCGAATTCGCCCGTAGGCGTGTTATGAACCCACGTGCCACCGTCAAGTAGTTGACCTCGAAACTCTGATCCTACAGCCTGTTTTGACTTAGTTCGCAAACCCTCAATGTTACTTCTGCAAACTTGAGGCGCCAGTCCAATTGCCAAGTAAGTGTTGAGGTTCCGGAGCAACATGTACCCTCTGATTCTTTGATGAACCTTGAAGAGACCTTCCTGCGGTGTGACAGAATAGAGAATAGGGCCCCGAATTATCATAGTTCGTCCATCCGTAAGCCCTAAATCCTGAACCGTATCTCAGACTTGAAGCTCAGAGTTTCCGAGACTTCTGCCGCACAAGTCTGGGAAAGGTGCCACAGTGTTCGCACAAAACATGTTAAGCGCCGTTGCCGATGTCCTATTTTGATGCGAGATTACAGATACATGTTGCGAAGTATGTAGGAGCCCGAATACGTAGTCATACCATTCCATGTAGCATCTGTGTGCTGATAGAGGAAGGCCTGCCAACACCCTATGCCCCCTTTCGAATCATCTTCAGAATCTAGGGGTCTCAATAGTTTGATCTTACCAGTTTCTGTTCCGGAAGAAGGCCCTTTGCAGGTATATTCTGCATTTGTACATAATGTGTATATGGGTAGTTGTCTAAATCAGGGTCTCTTTGAGGGTCCTTTTTATCAGGGTGCCGTACTATATTGGGGACCCAAAAAGGGATCCTACTTTAGCTACCCACACGTATATATATATATATATAATTCTTTTTATATGTACCTATCCACTTTTAGCTCCTTGTCCAAGACTTAAGGAAGGCCCCTGAACCCGAGATTCCAAGGTATTGCCTCTTTCGTCACCCGACTTACTAAGGTGAGATTCGAAATCAGCATCCAAAAGCCGGGGAACTACATCTTCAACCTGGAACTGATGTGCCCGAAAGAACGGCTCAGCGAGAAGCTTTGGTGGCAGAGCATTCGAACCGCTGTGGGGGCCGACAGTTAGAACGATATCGCTACATCGCCATCCTGGTATTCGTAGCAAGTCAGCCGAGTGCGGGTGCGGCGGATGTGGTAAGCCGGCAAGAGTCTGCTTAAACACACATGAGCTTGGTTGTTTTGCTTACTATGATCATGTTGCTGACCCATATGACTGCATCTAGCCTCCTCTTCTGCCGCAATTGCCGCTATTGCCAAAAAATAATGTGTTGTGTGTTTTTTGTTTTTTTGCCGCCGCCGCCGCTGCTGCTGTTGCTGCTGCTGCTGGTGCTGCTGTTGCTGCTGCAGCACTGCTGCTATTATTACTACTATCACAACAACAACAACAACAACTACAACTACAACTACTACTACTACTACCACCACGACTACCACTACTACTACTACTACTACTACTACGACGACGACGACGACCACGACCACGACCACGACTACGACTACGACGACTACTACTACTACTACTGCCACCATGACTAGCTACTAGCTACGAACCAGCTACTACTGAATGCTTTTAACTACTTAAATATATTCAATATTAACTACCACTTACTGCTACTAACTACCAAGTACAACCATTAACAGCTACTAGTGACTACTAGCTAGTCCACTACAAAGACCAGACGTAGATTACTTTCCATATACCGTTGTCGACGAAGATGGAAACCACGAAGTGTGCTACGATTGCGTCATGCTGCACTGTACTTGCGTGGATGTGTATGTACATATACATATATAGGTATATATATATATGTATATATACATATGCATCTAGATATGATGTAACTTAGTATGTAGTAAAACAGTACATTGCAGTATAGTATGATGTAATATGTTGTTCGGTCAAGTATAGTTAACCGAACATTTACATACTCAAACATAATGTAGTTTAACATTTATGTCTATATACATATGTATGTATGCAGGGCCCTACTAGTTCCTGGTAAAGCCGTTTTCGGCTACTACCTGTCACCATGCCAATGCCGTTTCACAGCAGCATATCAATGCCAAACGGCCCCATGAACCTTCCTCGCGAGCTGAGCCTTCCAGCCTAACACATAAGCCTCGAACTTACACCTCAGGGTAAATGGGCCCAGGTGGAGCAATCCGTCACAAATCATATGTCCAGACCATGTTTGTTTTCCCATGCTCCTAGCAAGAAGTTCTAGTCGCAGCCTATGGCACGGCGGACAGGTTCCAGATATCTGCGCAATCCGGCCTGGCGCCGCCGTAAGTCCTAACACCATCCCGAAAGCCGGTTTAGGGTTTAGAGTAGATTTTTTGATGCTGGCATCCTAGATTTCAAGTTTGGCTCCAAGTTATCCGAAATCGTCACTCCATGTTGCGAAAATGTCACCGACGGCTTTTCTGTCCTATAATGCCGTATGTGGCAATCCCCAAGAACCTTAAACCCCTAGGCCCTAAGTAGACCCTTCAAAACCCCGAAACTCCTCAATCCCTGGACCCGAAGCCCTGTAGATTCCGAAGCCCACAAGCCACTAAACCCCTGTATACAGTGTTTAATTAGGGACTATAGGGTTTCGGGACTATAGGGTTTAGGGACTATAGGGTTTAGGGCTTAGGGTTTTGGGTTTAGGGTTGAGGGTTTATAGGGTTGAGGTACACCCTAAACTAAACCCCGACCCCTGCGCCGATGCGAGGATGTATGTCGACGATAAGAACAACTCTCGGGTTCGCAAGTGCACCGGCGACGCTGCAGGACTGCTATGGAGGTTGAAGGTTTAGGGTTGATATGGAGGTTTTTCAGCAGATGATGTTACCTCAGGTAAATTTAGGAACCCTTTGATAAGGATCTTCTTGTTTGCGGCGCTAAATTGGGGTCCCCTATGTTCTGAGTCTCCAATTCTCCAATTCCGGTCTCTCCTTTTCTAGTCCTTATATGGTTGTATTACAACATACCCCAGAGGGCTCCGTAAGGGTTACGTACCATAATGGCTATCATGTGGATAGACTAGGGAGGGCCACAATGCCACTGAGTCACTAGGGTTTCATTTCTAAGGGGCCAACTCGTCCATCGTTCCTTCAAGGCCCCTTCTCTACCTACCTGGAGGGTCATGCCCTACCTCTTTGTTCGAGTACCTAGTTTTATGCTTAGGATCTGGTTTCTAGAGAAGTAGGCACCCTACAAAAAGGGGTCGTGTATGACCCTCTAGGTAGATAGCTGCCGAGTTGTGTTTGTTATCGGTAGCCGGTTTGTCCTGCTAACCTCGTATCTCGATCTGCCCCATGGGCTGGAGAGATCTGTCAAGCGGTTCGCGACCCAGGGTTCACATGTCCATCTGGTAAGCTTCGATCCCCAAACCCTATATAATGCTCTACACAGTATAATTCTCTACACAGCCCCTTTGAATACTAAGCGGTAAGCGCAACACTTGGTTGTGGGGACCAGGGCGGTGCCTTGCAATCCTTGCTGCTGACCTTGGGGACTTGCATATTTTTGCAGGTCTCAAGCAGGACCTGGGGCTCACAGTATCAACGCTTTAGACGCCTTTTTAGTGTAGGGGCCAAATACCATTCCAGAATATGCACTTAGCAGTAACAGCAGAAATATTCAAGAAGGTTAAACAAGTAGGTACTTTGACGATAAATCATCTAGATCTAGATGGGAACCCCTAGTATGATAATGCCAATACATGCACTTCGTCGCTAGGTCGAGAGAGATGGACCATACCCTAGACCAGAATTCTTGACGTACCCCATTATAGAACCATGCTACTACCCTTAGAGAACCCTTGAAGGAACCCTTAGAGGAGCCATTGCCATCCCGCAGCTGTTGCCTGAGCCCTAGAACCCCTAAACCAAAAAAACTAATCCTCTTAACCCCGAACCCTTAAACCCCCAAACCCTAAACCCCAAAACCAAGACACCTAAACCTCTAAACCTTGAACCCCCAACCCCTGAATTCCAAACCCCTAGACCCCTAAACCCCTAAACACCTAAACCCTAAACCCCCTAAACCTCTAAACCCTGAGCCCTCTAGATCCCGAAACTCAGTCCGCGAGGATCTTATGTCGGTTTCGACTGGGGCAACTTCACCTGTGAGCGTATAAGCCAGCAGGTCATCATGTGCAGCATTGTGGGCATCAGGCACATGCCGGAAGTAAGCGCTGGAATGGTTTTTGGTTCGATGTTCCGTGCTCCTCGGTTTAGCTCCCCAAAGGCCCACGTGCCTAAATACTGTATCTGGCATAGTCGGCATGTAATGTGGCATGGAGGTTTCTGTCGCGCAGTTTACGCGATGACGGAATCATGCTGCAACTTTCCTTGAACGGCACGTGAGGTATACTTATGCCAACACCCCAAGTTGTTCAAAGCATAGCCACAATCCCGAATTGTCAAACGGGTTTGTTCCATGCCGAGTAATTGTCATTGAAGAAGATGGGAGAACTTCGCGGGATGGCGGATAAACACGACACAGATCTTCTTCTAGTCAATTGTCCGGGACTTCGTACTTGTATGAGCTTTATGATGCTTCTCGTAGGGTTTCATTGGTTGGCCATTGCTTGAAGATTCGGTTGTCGCTGTAAGTTGGGGCCATCAAATCCATGGTTGGCCTGCTGGGTGCACTCAGTTTTCTTGTTTGACTGGTTCATAAGAACTCACTACCATAAGCCCCCCGCATGGTTTTTTCGGGTGAGTGTAGCCCTGAGAGCTAGTCAAGTGGGGGGGGGTTTAGGGTTTAGGGTGATTGGAGCTCCTTATGGTCCCGATTGATATTGTTACTATGACTACTTCGTTGTTCAGACCAATGTAATCATGCAACAATTTTGGGGTGATATTCGTACTGTGTCTTCCCTAAAACCCCTCAACCCCTAAACCCCTAAACCCACACACCCTAAAACCCCTGAACCCCTAAACCCCATGGCACCCCTAAAGGAACCCTTAAGGGAGCCCTTAAAAGGAACCCCTAAAGCCCTATAAACCCTAAAGCCGTCACCCTAAACCCGCCAAAAGTAAACCCTAAACCCCTAAACCCTAAACCCTAAACCCCTAAACCCTAAACCCTAAACCCTAAAGCCCTCTAAACCCTAAAGCCGTCACCGATGGCAGGCAGTGGGATAGCATCTTCAAGGGCCTCTTTGGCAGCAGAGCGTCTCCGGCTTAGGGCTCCTTTAAGGGGATCTATAGGGTGTAGGGTTCCTT